ATTCCTCAGCCAGCTTTGCTGGCTGAGGAATTCTGGGAGTTGAAGTCCACAAGTCTTAAAGTTGCCAAGGTTGGACACCCCTGACCTAGAGGAACTAGCCACATAACTAGCTCCTTTCTGAAGGCATTGATAAATGTTTAGAGACTAGGAAGTTCATGGTCACATCTCTGGCCTGCTAAAACTGAAATAGCTCCCATAAACTTTTGTGAATTATTGTAGCATCTCTATCTGTATTTGCACATTTTGCAATGTCACCAACCTTTTTCCGTCAATGAATATTCTAACAAGATGCATAAATTGCTTTTACTTCTATTCACTTATAATCATTTACTTCATTTTTTCCAGTCAAGCACAACTACATACCTCTTTTCCATATTAACTGCCATGTCCGCTTTCCTTGTAATATCACACAATCTAAACTTTGCTGCAAATTATTCAGGTTCTTGACCATTAACATGATTGTCTGCATACAAAAGTACATATGCTTTCACACACACCCAAACATAACTGGGGTACATACAATAAACAACTTTTTTCAATTCCTGTTTGGTATACTTGCTTAAAACTGTTATTTTAATTACCATATAATCTTTTTAAACTAAATGGTTAGATTGGTCGTACAGGTAGTCCTTGGTTAATAATGGCAACTGGGATTGGAATTTGGAGGATGAAGCCAAACACCCAGGTTCCCTTCCCATCATTTTAGGAGATTTCAATCAAGCAAATTTAAGGAAAGAGCTCCCAAAATATTTCCAGCATGTAAATTGTCCCACCAGAGGCAAAAATACTTTAGAGTAGACCACTGCTACACAACAGTAAAAGAGGCTTATAGGTCTTTACCACGAGCAGTTGTGGGACACTCTGACCACTGCATATACCTGCCTACAGACAAAGACTTAAAACCATTAAACCAACAATTAAATCAGTGAAGATTTGGTAGGATGAGGCAAAGCTGAAACTCCAGGCCTGCCTTGATTGTACTGATTGGAATGTTTTTGAAGATGCCTCTGCAGACCTAGATAAGCTCACAGTTACTGTAACATCATACGTTAGCTTCTGCGAAGACTTATGTGTACCAACAAGGAACCTGCAAATATATAGTAACAATAAACTTTGGTTCACAGCTAAACTTAAGCAGTTACGTCATTCCAAAGAGAAAGCCTACAGAAAAGGTGACAGATTGCTATACAACCAGGCCAGAAACATATTAACAAGAGAGATCAGAGCAGCAAAAAGAAGCTACTCTGAAAAGTTAAAGAATCAATTCTCAACAAATGAACCAGCAAACTTGTGGAAAACTCTTAAAAATATCACTGGCTTCAGCAAACCTCCTTCCCAGGCAGAAGGAAATCAACAACTAGCAGATGACCTGAATGTGTTTTATTGCAGGTTTGAAAAGGAACTACAGCAACCTATCTCCACAACCCACATCTCAAACACACCAATAACGGCCAAGCCGCCTACAACTGGCCCCAATCCATTGGGTTCACAACCTCTGGTGATCACAGAAAAAGAAGTGCAAGATCTATTACACAGACAGAAGCCAGGAAAAGCACCAGGGCCAGACAAGATAACTCCTTCTTGCTTAAAAGTCTGTGCTGACCAATTGGCCCCCATCTTCACCTGAATCTTCAATAGATCACTAGAGATGTGCTATGTTCCTTCCTGCTTCAAATGTTCTATCATCATCCCAGTGCCAAAGAAGCCTTCCATCAAGGAACTGAATGACTACAGACCAGTTGCTCTAATATCTGTAGTTATGAAAATCTTTGAAAGGCTTGTGCTGTCCCACCTGAAAACCATCACGGATCCAGTTAGATCCCATGCAATTTGCATACTGAGCAAATAGATTGACAGATGATGCTGTTAATATGGCTCTGCACTACATCCTACAACACCTTGAATCTCCAAATAACTACGCAAGGGTCCTCTTTGTAGACTTCAGTTCAGCATTCAATACCATCATTCCAGACACTCCTCTAAGTAAATTAAACCAACTAGCGGTACCTGAACACACTTGTAAGTGGATCATAAGTTTCTTAACAGACAGGAAGCAGCAGGTGAAGCTAGGCGGAATCACATCCGATACCTGTACAATCAGCACAGGGGCCCCCCAAGGCTGTGTGCTATCTCCATTTTTCTTCTCCCTATATACCAATGACTGCATCTCAAACGATCCATCTGTTAAAATACTGAAATTTGCTGATGATAAAACAGTGATTGGTCTCGTTTGAGACAACGATGAATCTGCATACAGACAGGTTATACAACTTGCCTCGTGGTATAACCAGAACAATCTGGAACTGAACACACTCAAAACCGTTCTACTATATCACATGACCTAAAATGGACACCTAACATCAAAAACATCATCGAAAAAGCACAACAAAGAATGTTCTTTCTGCGTCAACTCAGAAAGCTCAAACTGTCCAGGGAACTGCTGATACAGTTCTACAGAGGAATTATTGAGTCTATCATCTGCACCTCTATAACTGTCTGGTTTGGTTCTGCAACCCAACAGGACAGACACAGACTTCAGAGGATAATTAGGAGTGCAGAAAAAAGAATTACTACCCACCTGCCTTCAACTGAGGACCTGTATACTGCACGAGTTAAAAAGAGGGCTGTGAAAATATTTACTGACCCCTCACATCCTGGACATAAACTGTTTCAACTCCTTCCCTCAAAACTACGCTATAGAGCATTGCACACCAGAACAACTAGACACAAGAACAGATTTCCCCCCGAAAGCTATCACTCTGCTAAACAAATAATTCCCTCAACACTGTTCAACTATTTACAAAGTGTATACTACTTTACTGTTAATCTTCTCATCACTCCTTATCACCCATCTCCTCCCACTTGTGATTGTAGGACTGTAATTTTGTTGTTTGTATCCTTATGATTTATATTGACTGTTTCCTAGTATGATTTGATTGTTGATTGTACCCTATTAAGTGTTGTACATTATGATTCTTGATTCTTAATGAATGTACCTTTTCTTTATGTATACTGAGAGTATTTACACCAAGACAAATTCCTTGTGTGTCCAATTACACTTGGCCAATAAAGTATTCTATTCTATTCTATTCTATTCTATTCTGTTCTGTCATTAAGCAACATAGTACATCACAGGACCACACCACTTAGCAGTGGAAATTTCAGTCCCAATTGCTGTTGTTAAGTGAATCCTATGTCACTATTTGCAACTTCCTGCCAGCTCCCTCATTGCTTATAGAAAGCCAGCCACAAAAATTGCAAATGATGTTCAATGAAATGGAATGTGTCATATATGTGGGTATATGTATAATTTCGTATTCATGTATTTTGTGATGGTTATGTAATGTATATTGGAGGTGACCCTTTGAGAACTGTATGCAACAAAATTTTATTTTAATGCATGCCGATTAATGTACATTCAAAGTGAAAATAAAGTTACCCCTTTCTACTTCTATGACATGGAGTGCTGCTATGTCCTAACTCAAACCAAACAACAAGCAACAGCCACAATTGCAAGTATGTGCAATCAATGCCCGCGAACAGCTACAGGGGCGGTCACTAAGTGGTTGTTAACCATGAACTACCTATATTAGCAATTTGGGTGCCAATACCCATTCCTTAACGTTGTAGTCTATTAATTATATTATTTCTAAGATGGAGGGTTAAGATTCATGTTAACCTTTTTAGTGGCAGTGTCCCAGGACGTTTCCAATATTCCAACCCAACAAAATAGGTGTTATTAGGTGCCAGATTTAAACTGGAGAAATATAGGATGCTAAACTAACCTTGTCTGAAAAATTAAACTCAGCAAATGCTCCCATTCGCATTTGCTCTCCCTTTAGGTCAACCAAGTAAAGCCCAATTAGATCGCCTCCATCCAGACAAGCATCTTTTCGGGTCTCCCTTAATTTGCGGAGAAACTGACCTTTGCTTCCGCGGGTTTTAAAGGTGTTTTAATCTTTCCTTAACAATTCGCTCGACCTCCCGTACCTGAACAGCAGCAGGCCCAGACGACCGGAAGCCTCGTTGTGGAGGTGCCGACAACCGGCCGGCTTCCAGCCGCCACACACACCGGACAAAACCTCGGAGTGGACCCGCCGCCATCTTGAACCTGCCCTCCAGCCGGCGCGTAGCGATTACGTAATCCTTGCGCCGGCCGCCCACCCCAGTTTCGCTCTCCCGAGTTGCCCAGTAACTCGGCGAAAGATTCTCGCGACGTTTAAACGAGAACTGCCTCGGTAGCTGTTCGCGGGTACTTTTTTTGCCCCGCTTCCGCCCTCAGTTGGGAATGCTGATAACGAGGCGGTCGTAGGAAAGTTGGCTGGATAAGAGAGAGAGAGAAGTGTTGTTATTAAACCTATCTCGGTTGGGCAACACAGAAAAGAGCCCAAATTTTCAGCCAGATAATGAAAAAAAAGCGTAACACCTTTTCCCCTAATGGAATCAGTTGATATTTCCAATTCAGAGCCCCTAGTCTGTTTCAAAATCCCCCTATGACCCAATTCCAGGACAGCTTTTATGTATTTGAATAGATTTTAGATACAAAAAGCTTCACAGTAAATAAAGAAGAGGTGGAGTCGGAGATGGTGGAAAAAGCTGTAAACAACTGTAAACTAAAAAAAAAGTAAAACACTTATTTAAGGAGGATTTGCATACCTTTCCTTATTCCAAAATAATAAATAAGGCCATAAGAATGTGTGTGTAGGACATAAAGCTTTAGAATGGAAGCCCATCTAAGACTGAGTACACATCACAACTCATCTGGATATTTTGTTTTTTCCCCCTGGAAAAGCCATTTTATTTACAGTTGCTTTGCAAAAAAAAAAAGAAAGAAAGAAAGAATAGAATGGACACTTGCTAATCATACTTTGGAAACGAAGCTCATTCTTTGTTGCAAGTTCTGTTACAAGTATATGAAAATGCATTATATGCAGGGTAAAGGCAGCCTGGAATTAATACAAAAGCCGTCTTTCAATTCCAACTGAATTGATTAAACACAGCTACCTTGGTCTTGTAGTATTCACTAAAAATAAACGATCTACTCTTTCAATCAGATTTCAGTCAAATATCTTCCCAGGAAATAGAACACATTAATTCCTTTGTATATTCATTCTTGCTGGCTTGCTTTTTGTATATGGAAAGGACAATAGTTTTCTTCCAGTTGTCAGCTATAGCGACAATTTTTTGTATGTTAAAAGAAATCCCACAGCCACTCCATATGCAAAGCACGTTTCTGTAACATTTACACCATCTAACTCGGCATACATATTCTGTGGCTCTTTTCAAATAAATCATTTGTTGCTCTTCAGCTAGATTCTTTGCAGCTTTCTCTTTCTTTGCACATAAAACAGTATCTGTCTTTGATTTTTGAAATAATTAGTTTCTCATATGCAGGGTTTTTTTCTAACCCACAACATCTTTCATGTTATCATTGCACCAAGCAGTTTTTTTTAATTATTATTATTCTTGTTAGTCTAACTCCACACAATTCTGCAACACTAAGCAACATAATTATTCAATCTGTTCTAAGCAGCCTATACATTTTCTTTATGGCAATGTTGCATTAATTATGTTGGGAGATTAAACATTGCAGTTGTAAGCCACCCAAAGTCATTTTGTATCTAATAATGCATAAATCTAAGAAGGCCATTCAAAGGAAAATTAATTGCTGGTATATTCATTAATACCAAAGAGGAGCTGGTGGAAAAATCACACGCCACACACATTTAGCATCTAAGGGGTAATGGCACCACAAAATTTGAGAATCTCTTGTTTTTCACAGACTCATACTTTTTGTATTCAGTGTATTTTCACTTTGGTTTCTGTTAGTTTTTATTCCATGTCCATTTATTGCCAAGGTCTATTTTTATACTATCCAAAATCTCCTATTTCCATATCCAGAATCTATTTTAATGTATTTTTATTAATTTTTCATCAAATTATGCTTTTAGGTTCATTCATTTTTATGCATACATATTAAGAGACTTATTTTTAAAAAACATAGACAGAATATATATATTTTTCTAATCAAATTCTCATTGATCATCATGTTCATTTCATACTTTCCATGCAGCATATTTATTCAAAATATTGCATTATTTTCCCAAAACTCATTTCAGGTTCTTCTATTATTATTTATTGGAGCATTATAATCTATTATGATCAAAATATGGATCTTTTCCTACTGTCATATAGTCACAAGAATCTAGATTATAGCAAGTTAATTTTTCTTGCAACATTTTAGCACTTTCATTCACAATTAAATCAACTTCATTTCCCTGCACAACCCAATCCCTCAATATTGTACCACTTGTATTCATAAACTTATTGCAATTTTTTAGTTTCACAGACCTGCCTTTCTTTCCTTCCTTCCTTTTGCTCTCCCTCCTGCCCTTTCATTTTTGATTTCTTATTCATAAATCTCATCCTCTATTCTTACATTCTTACAAAATGGGTTCATTGATATTGACATCTGCTGCCCATTGCAAGTTTAGTCAATCAGAATTTTCACATACCACTTTTTAAAACTAGATAGCAAAATCTGGATGAACATACTTGCCTTAGTTATATCAGTACCTTTCTGGAAATAGTTAGGATAGTGCCAGTTTTGTTTTATTTTGACCAGAATAAACTAGTTTTCCCCAAAGTGTGCTTTTGCTATTCCCCAGAAACCAGCATCTCTATTCTAGGGATTCCTTGGAAGCTAACAGATTACTGCCATTTCCACCAACTAAACAGTTGGATGTTTCAGCAAGAGAACATTCTGAAACATACCTTCATATCACTTAGAACAGGGGCCTCCAATCTTGACAACTAAGACTTGTGGACTTCAACTCCTAGCCAGTTTCGCTGGCTGAGGAACTCTGGGAGTTGAAGTCCACAAGTCTTAAAGTTGCCAAGATTGGAGACCCATGATTTAAAAGATGCTTTCACAAAAGAAAGGTCATAGTGCATGCCAGAAGAGAACTATTAAAATTCCGTAATGAACAATGGAAAAATAAAATAAAGCAAGCATAGAAAGGCTTTTGGTTAGGTGTAGGAAACATCTGGAAACTATTATTTCTGCCAAAGAGATGTTAGGAACTACTGACAGATTATTCAAACTTCTGCACTTGCCATATTGACTGTTTTCTTATTCTGAATCTGTCAACAGCTGCACATGAATAATTAAGTACATGTTCAGATTTGCAGAAAGATGTTTGTCCTTGTAGAGGTTGTGATAGCTTCTATTCATTTAGGGATTCATGAAAACATGGAATGTGACCTATGGCATGTAACATTTGCATGCAACTGCACAATGCATGCAGTCAGGATTCAGTTAATTCCCAACCATTTAGACCAGCAAATCACACTAAATTGGTTGGTTGGTTGATTTGGCTTATTACTTTCTTTGTTTCTGAATTACACAGAAAACATATGGGGGCAAAATTATTCCCTTTGGAAACATATTTTTGCGAAAATTACAGGCTTATAGTCATTCGTTTAGTTTTTGAAGTTACCATGGTGCTGAAAAAAGTGACTTACAATTAATCTTTGCATTTACAATCATCACATCATTCCCACAATCACATGATCCAAATTCTGGCACTTGGCAACTATTTATGATGCTTGCAGCATCACAAGATCATTGATTGCCATTTCCAACTTCCCAGCTGGCATTCAACAAGCAAAGTCCATTGGGGGAAGCCAGATTAGCTTACCAACTGCACAATTCACTTAACAATTACAAGGATTTGCTTTACAACTATGGCAAAAAAGGCATCAAATCGGGCGTCACTCACTTAACCATCACCTTGCTTGGCAATGGAAACTCGGGTCCCCGTTGTAAGTCGGGAACTACCTGGCAGGGCTACCATCAGCCTTCCTAAGAATTCAAGAATTCATCAGCTAAGCCTTTCTGTCATCCATGGCTCTGAAGCATTCAACAGAAAATTCATCCAGAGAAACTAAGGTTCTTATGACTTTCAACATTGATTCTTGTATTTGGCTTTCCTTAGTTTTCACCTCTTGTAGATTATAACCTTGAGAGGGTATGTTTAAGACCCCTTCTGGCTGGTGGACTATAAAGTCTATAAATTGGTTATAAATAACGATACAACATATGGTGTTGATAAAGAATCTCTCTGGTGGGTATATAGGTGAAAGCTATACAGACCGGAATGGCCCATTTTCTGCCAACCATTCAATTCTCAGCCCAACCTACTTCTTAGGGCTAGAAAATTTTGAGAAATTTTCTTGGAGTATCTTTTCATTAAAAAAAAAAGCTGAGAATTCTTGTTTATTTTATTTCCAGAGTGTTTTTTTTTTTTTAAAAAAGCTCCCCACAAAGATTGGCGTACACATTTCCACAGTACAAAATACCAGGTACCCTAAAAAGGGATGCCCAAGGGGTAATAGGTAGTGTAATTAATGAAGGAATAAATTACTGAAGATGCAAACGCCTGCTGCAGAGGAACAACGGGAGGAGAGTGGTATCTCCCCACTTCTTAACTGAGAATGGTCAGTCCTTGATTTACAACAGTTTATTTAGTGCCCATTCAAAGTTACATCACTGAACAAAGTGATTTTTTGTCCATTTTCATACTTATGACCATTATAGCAACCCCATGGTCATGTGATCAAAATTCAGATGCTTGGCAACTGACTCATATTTATGATAGTTGTAATGTCCTGGGCTCGTGTAAGTACCTTTTTCAACTTTCTGATGAGCAAGTCAAACTCAACGAACAACCATGTTACTAATTTAACAAGTGAAGTGATTCACTTATCAACTGTGGCAAGGAGTACCATAAAAATGGGTCAAAACTCACTTAATAAATGTCTAATTTAGCAACATAAATTTTGACCTCCTTTGTGATTATAAGTTCAGGAGAACCTGTATTCACGAGGCCATTACAAGAAATAATATGCTACACTAAATTGTGTCTCATATATATGGAGTTATATATGCACACATGTAAATTTCCTGAATAATCATAGTGTTGTTCAAGTGTACATCCTAAGTGTATGAAAGAACCAAGAATAAAGCATTCTGAGAAACAAAAATTGACCCAAGACTCAATATATCAGTAAGAACTCTTTTTCTTCTGAGTTTGCAAGCTGGATGTCATGATCTCATTCAGGTATGGTTCAGAAAAAAACACTCTTAGAATGACATGTTTAGTAAGTCAGGGTTCCAAAAACCATAATATATTAACACAAGATTTGACTTAAGTCAAAGTCAAAATAGTAAGCCTGGACCCTGAGGTGTCCAGTTAAGCCCATATTGTGGTTTATGTTGTTTATGCTCCTTAGTTTTATCTTGGCTCCTATATTCCTTACTTATTGTTTTATTATTTATTAATTAAATTTATAGTCTCTTATTTAAAGAACTCCAGCTAGCACACACAAACATAAACCAGAAACAATAAAAATTAAAATAGAACAATTAAAAACAATTAGAACAATTAAAAATTAAAAATATAACATCCCAGTTATATTTTTTCTTTTTTTATTCCCTTAGCTGCCTAGACACATTTGACATGGGTGGTGGCCACATTAATCAATCAACTGAATAAATATACAGTGTGTACACAATTAGTAGGTGAGTATTTTGACCGTATCATCATTTTAATGCACATTTTCCACCTCCAAGCTGTATAAACTTGAATGCTTATTGGATATAAGCATATCAGATGATGTGTATTTGTGTAATGAGGGAGGGTGGCCTATGGAGATCAACACCCTATATCAAGGGGTGCATAATTATTAGGCAGCTCCTTTCCTCAGGAAGAATGGACCAAAAAAGAGATATAACTGACTCTGAAAAGTCAACAATTGTCAAAAGTCTTTCAGATGCAGCATTCTTGAAATTGTTAAGATATTGGGGTGTGACCACAAAACCATCAAATGTTTTGTTGCTAATAGTTAAAAGGGTTGCAAGAAATGTGTTGAGAAAAAAAAAGATGCATATTAACTGCCAAAGATTTGAGAAGAATCAAACGTGAAACTACCAGGAACCCATTATCCTCTAGTGATGTCAGATTCCAGAACTGCATCTTATCTGGAGTGCCCAGAAGTGCAAGGTGTTCAGTGCTCAGCGACATGGTTAAGGAAAAGAAAGTTAAAAACTGACCACCAATGAACAAGATACTTGTTAAAATGGCAAGACAGGGCCAAGAAATACCTGAAGGCACATTTTTCAAAGGTTTTATGGATTGATGAGATGAGAGTGACACTTGGACCAGATGGATGGGCCTGTGGCTGGATCAGTAACAGGCACAGAGCTCCACTTCGACTCAAACACAAGCAAGGTAGAGGTGGGGTACTGGTATGGGCTGGTATTATTAAAAATGAGCTAGTTTACAGATAATCAGAGTTGGAAGGGACCTTGTAGGTCATCTAGTCCAACCCTCCACCTAAGGAGACCCTACACCATTTCTGACAAATGGCAGTCCAATCTCTTCTTGAAAGTCTCAAGTGATGACACTCCCACAACTTCCGAGGGCAAGCTGTTCCATTGGTTGATTGTTCTCACTGTCAGAAAATTTCTCCTTATTTCCAGGTTAAATCCAACTTTTTCGAATTGAAGATGGACTCAAAATCAACTCCCAAACCTATTGCCAATTTTTAGAAGACACTTTTTTCAAGCAGTGATACAGGAAGAAGTCTGCATCTTTCAAGACCATGATTTTTATGCAGGACAATGCTCCAATGCATGCATCGAAGTACTCCACTGTGTGGCTAGCCAGTAAAGGCCTTAAAGATGAAAGAATAATGACATGGCCCCCTTCCTCACCTGCCCTAACTAAAGAACTTGTGGGCCCTTCTTAAATGGGAGATTTATACTGAAGGAAAACAGTACACCTCTCTGAACAATGTCTGGGAGGTTGTGGTTGCTGATGCATAAAAAGTTGATCAACAGAACAAGAAATTAACAGACTCCATGAATGGAAAGCAAATATACATGTCCCAGGATTCTGGCTCCTGCAAAAAAAAAAAGGGGGGGGGTGATAATAGTTTAATGAAAGAATTGTATGGGGATATCTTGCCTTCTGGAAATCTGAAAATAAATTAACTGGTAGGAAGTCTTTAAGCTGCCAAAGAAATAACAGGAACTTTGAGATTTCTAATAGTAAGACATGCTTTTCATAAGCTAAAGAAGTTGCTGCAACTTACAAAAAGGATTAAAACAATCACCCGGAGTAAAGTTTCTGACCTCACTTTGAAGAAATCCACTACCTGTTCTGCTGTATGGGTGATCATATGCAAATAAGCGATCATCTTCACAAAACAAGAGTTGCATGAAATTTAAGTGATGGTCTCATGCTTGGATTCTTCAGTAGCCTTCTTTAATCATCCTGCAGCGCAGGCCGGAGAGATCGCCTCATATGAGTGAAACAAAACTGTGGACAACCATGTGCAAATCCAGCCCAATGTGTGATTGCTACAAACATATGTGAGAGGGAAGGGTATAGACCAGAACAACTAAAGTGCGGCAAATAGGGCGTATAAACCATGAAAGAATATATGGTATAACTAGATTTTCCACGCGGTTTGGAATACCTTTGGAAAGCATTGGCCGCAGCCGGCTATGCAGCCATTTACCCCGGAGATAAACCAGTTTGCTACGTAGCTGATTTCATCAAGCGTTTGAGTAAACACGCTCAGCGTCGAAATGCGCTCCAGCTGTTCGACACTGGTGGACCCAGGCAAGGAGGGGGACACGCACACAGCCTCTCTCTCTCTTCAACAAAGGCCTTGCAAGCCGCGGGCGCGAAACGCATTGGCAGCCTTGCCTCTGAGGCTCGCCGCTACCCTACCCGCTCCTCCTTTCTCTCCTCGCTCAGGCCGGAGCGGGCAGGCTCCGAGGGGTGAGGAGGAGGAGAGGAGGAGGAGAAGGCGGTGCCGGGGAGGAGCCAGACACGCAGGCGGATTCAGGCTCGGTTGTGCTTCTACCCACCGGCCTCTCCTGCGCTCGAGCGGCGAAGAGAACGCGCGCGGGAGAGACGGATGGAGTTTGCGGAACGCCACAATCCCCGGGTGCGTAAAGGCAGCGGGGCTTAAGATGGCGCGGGAAGCCCGGAGCGCTGCCTTAGCGCGGGGGTGAGGGGGTCGGGAGCTTTAGGGGAAGGGGCGAGAGAGAGCGCCCCGCGCTCTTGGAGTGGTGGGGGGGGGAAGGGCCAAGCAGGAGAGGGGTGTGCAGCCCGGGTGCAGGGGGCTCCTTTTTGGAGACCAAGGGAAAGGGAGCGTCGGAGCTCCCGGGCTCTTCGCGGGGAGGGCAAGGGGGGATTGAAGAGGCAAAGCGGGAAGGGGGGAGCTCCGTCCCTGGGCTCCTTTCGAGGAGAGGGAGGCTGGCTGTTCCTTTCTTTTGCGCGAGGGCTAACTTGGAGCGTGAGAATGCGGACGGCGTATAAAAGGGCGAAGAGGGAGTTCTGCAACCTTGGATGCTACCGCCGTCTGCTAATTCCCCACCGCCTCTCGCCCTCCTTCCCCATAGTGTGGTCGCTTGTCGGGGGACTCTCTTGTCCCCCCCCCCCCCCCCCCCC